CCCGCGACACCCCCGTGTTACAGGATCCTCCAGCAGTGCTCTGTGTGGCTTTGGAAACCTAACGAGCAAGAACCGTTCTGGCTGTGCAAGGACAGGGCGAGGCTGCCCCTGGAAGTGGGGTCCTGGAAAGGGAGGGCGACCAGCCTCGGAGCCAGCCCGGCACCTGTCGCCCAGACTACCGGAACACCTGCTGAGCCCTCCTCAACCTCCACCTCTGCCCCCACAGCCGATGCTCAGCCTGACGGACAGCACGACCCTCTTAACTCATAATTGAGACCACACTGCTCTCAAAGTGGGCAGATGCCGTGGCCTCACCAGGAGCCAGCCCCGGCCTCCACCAGCTCTCAGCTCACCCCCGGCTCTACCTGTGCCTGCCCCGTCGTATCCTGCCACGCTGGCCACATCAGGCTCTCCGCGGTCCCAGAACGACATGCCCGGCTGCCCCACCCTACTCAGAACCGCTGCACCTGCTGCCCGGCCTGAGGGGAGGCTGCTCCCACTGCCTCGGTACCTGACAGCTCCCCACACGACAGCTCCCGCCCCCCTCAGCCTTTTCTCCCCCAGCCCCAGACGCCCTGTTACCGATTTGTTTATCACCTGCCCCCACGAGGATGAAAGCTCCCTGAGGGCAGGGCTTGGCTTCACTCCCTGGAGCAGCCCGGTGCCACCGCAGTGCCTGGCACGGCACGCATCTGCCCAGTGACAGGCGCGTGGTAAAGTATCGAGGTGACAATGTCTCGGGGTTGGGGGCTGTCTGTCGTGTCAAGCTTAGCAGCAAGTGTTAGCGGTACACTGTCATTCCTAGTATCTCGGAGCTCCCAAGACGCCTGACTGTATCTCCTCGCTAGAACTCTCTGATTATAATAAAAGGCAAAAATTCTTTTATCAGCAGGTTTCCCATGTCTATGCCTGCGGGTTGGGGATTTGATGAATTCTCCATCCTGGGGGATTGTTCACTGGGCAAATACCTACTGAGCACATAACCCCGAGAATTTCTAATTCAGACAGCTCCTCTGCAGAAAGGACACGGGAAGAACCAGCACCAAAATAGGCTTTCAGATTATAAAGAGAAACAGAGGAGCCTTCCATTTCCAGCACCACGGCAGCGCTGATATCCTGAAAAGCCTCCTGATACAAAATCTCTAGAAATGCTTTCAAACGCATTGCTGAGCTCGGGAGAAATCACAAGGGGCTAAAAACGGAGAGTGCGCTGAAAACCGGAGTGGCTGGCTGAAGCCACAGCTGCCCTGGGGACATTCTAGGAGCTGCCTGGGAGCCAGAAGACAAGCCCGTCGGTGTCCTTGCGAGGGCCTTGCCCTCGGTGAAGGGAGGACAGAACAGTCTCCACTGCGAACTCGTGACCAGAGCCTGTCCCCACACGGGACTGGGGGGCTGAAACTCACACCACCTCCAGGGCCTGGAATACCACACGCAACAAAGGCGCCGCAAATCCCTGCTCCTCAGGACTCCGAGGGCCTGGGGCGGCAGCAAACGGTCCTTCCCAGTGGGGCTGCCAGTGAGCAAATAACGCGGGTGTCCAGCTAAATACAATACTTGGACCCACTTACACAGAAACAGTGTCTGTCAACGGGCGTCTGCGTTTTCCGTGGAATCCTCCCCAGGAGGGGCTCGCTCTCGCCAGATGCCCGGGGCGAGCCACAGAGGCAGGAGCGCAGCAGCCGAAGTCTCCAAAGCAGCGAGGGAGACAAGCCGCCCTGGGTAAGAGCAGCAAACGATGACAAAACCAGACAGACACTGCCGGATACAGAACGAGAGTACCTGTGTTTAACATGTTTAAAGAGAGCGAAGCGAGGGTACCTGTGATACAAGCAAGGAGTACGATCCTCTCAGCAAGAGCAGAAAGTACTGGCGCCAATAAAAAGAAACTCTCATCTAGACCCATCTTGCTAAACTACAAAACACCAAAGACAGAAGAAATATCAGGAAAATCTTGAAAGAGAAAAGGAAACTAAAATACTTAATTAAAACAAAGTCAAAGCACTATTCCTTTTTCCAAGAATCAGAAGTGCTACCTAATAGCTTCCAACCACAAACACGGACGAGTTCACCAGCGGCCACGGAACACGCACACCGCGCACGACACAACCACGCCGTGACACGCGGACCCCCGCCCGCTTCCACGTCTCTGCGTGAGCACGGTGCCCGTGCATCTCACGTTCCTCATGAAATTATGAGGCACGTTTTTGGTCATTTTATTACCTTTATAACATTAATTGGGATTACATAAGCTTCTCAAGTTGCTGGTGGAGTCTGGCTAAAACACGTATTTTCAACATGTCTTAAAAAAATCTGGGCAGTGAGGAAGTCCCTGCCAGGTATCGGCTTCTAAGGACCCCTGCCATGAAAACCACCCCACGGCCTCCGCTTGCTGCAGAAAATAAATGGCCGCAAAGCACTCTCTGCCCTATCAATAAAAGGTCCTGTCTCCTCTGAAATGTCTGTCCCCAGACAGCGCTTGCTCCCCTTGCAGCAAACCAGCGATCTGCAGACGCACCTGGGGACCAATCAGACAGTCTCCCCATTTCCAACCCCAACAGCACCGTGTCAGGCCCACGGCCGGGGCCCTCGTCTTCTACCCGTGTGACACCACGCTCTCCTTGTGCCCCCTGCCCTCGCGGCCGGGCTCCTCGCCCTTTGCGAGTGTACTAAGAACCTCGCCTCTGACAAAGGCGGATCTTCACTTTCTCTAGCCACTCATCTTCTGTAATGTACGTAAGACGAAACCTTTCTGAAAAGCTTGATTCTTTTCGGATCTTTATTCGCTATTTCTTTCTGTAACATGTAATCCTAGAAAACAGCACTCGATTTGGCTGCAAATCAAACTTCACGGTAAACCTTCTCACTAAACCTCGGAACCTCCAACTCTGACCCGACCAGACGCCACTCCCACAGCCTGTCTTCCTGGAGGCCTCTGCGAGCGGCAGGTGCTCAGGGCGCGACGCCGCCTCACCCTCCGTGCGGTCCCTTCTAGGAGGCAGACTCTGGACGGGTCCCTTCTACACATTTCCCACCTTTCTAAGCTAGGCCTGCCATCCCCAGCTGAGCCACGCACGAGTGAGAAGGAAGAACGCAATCTAAACACAAACGACTGTGGACTAACTACATTTTCATGAAAACTGGCCTTCATGCTGCACCCTTAGTATTTGTTTCCAAAAGAAGAAAGTGGGGACCGGGCGCCGCGGCTCCTGCCTGTAATCTCAGCGCTCTGGGAGGCCGAGGCAGGAAGATCGCTTGAGCTCGGGAGTTTGAGACCAGCCCGAGCAAGAGCGAGACCCTGTCTCTACTAAAAATAAAAAAAGAAAGAAAAAAAAAAGGAAGAAAGTGGGAAAAATAGGTTTGATAGTTAGGGTTTTACTTTTTAATGTGTTTTTAAAGCAACAGTTGTTTGTTCCCTCAACATCTGACGAAATGACTGCTAACACAACCTGTCCGTTTAGATGACCACATAAAAAGAACCCACTGCTCTTGCCAACTGTGTGCCTTTTGTTCAAACGAAAACTGTCTCCTCCTGCTCTTGGGGAACATGTGTCTGAGGAGAAACAGCGACCAGAAGCATGTGGTATCCACTCGTTGCTAAGGGCTATGACGAGGCCACTGAGGCCAGAAGGCAGCTCCACCCACGGGGCCCTGAGCATGGCCCTGGAGGACGGGGGACAAGCCTCCCCGTGCCCACAGACACGTGTCCAGAAACAGCCTGCGCAGTCTGGGTGGGGGCCTTTTGGGAGAAGCTGCAAATCTCCCAGACCTTCAAGAGCTGCACGTGAAATCTACGGAGGGGTTCATCATGCATCTCTGCGTCCCCACGATGCCATTTCGGGAAGGAAATTTGCTGATTTGCTTATGTCTCTAACGGACAAAGGCAATTCTCTGAATTAAGAGAAATTACTGTTTAATTTCAACTTACCAGTTTTCCACATTAGGCAACTTAATTTTTCTTTAAAAACTTTCCTCTAAACAGTCACACAAGTCTAGCTCAACAGACAAGTACGAAGCCTACGGTACACATGGTGACTTTCTGGGAACAGGGAAGAGTACCCTTCCGGTGCAGAGAGCTGACCAACACGGCCTGGGACAGGGGTCGGGGTCAGCGTCAGCAGTGGCAGGTCACGTGACAGTGGGGAAGCTCGATGCGTCACCCTAACCTATCAATGCCACAGCTCAGAGGTACTCAGGAGACACGACGACACAACGTCATACAGTATCCTAGACGGAGTCTTGGAACAAAAAAGGACATTAGGGAAAAACTAAGGAAATCTGAATAAGTGTGGACTTTAGTTACAATAGTAATACATTATCCGTCTTGATTCGTTATTTTTCTATTCTCGTCATTTTCTAAAGTTTGAAATATCCCAAAATAAAAAATAGTTAACATGAAGATCAAAAAAAGACCATTTTAAATAATAAGTGCAAGAATTTGTTGCCAACTAACAGTAACAGGCCCGATGGAGAACACAGCTGTGGCAGTCACCACCCCACGCTACGTACAGAAATAGGGGAAAGGGGGGGAGGGGAGGAGGGTATGCGTATACACACACACAAAGAGTGCGATGCGCACCATCCGAGGGATGGACACGCTTGAAGCTCGGACTTGCGGGGGGGAGGGGAGGCAAGGGCAACCTATGTAACCTAAACATCTGTACCCCCATAATATGCTGAAATAAAAAAAAAAGAACACAAGGAAACTGGGGGGGCAATGGATATGTTCGTTATCTTGATTGTGGTGATAGTTTCATGGTAGTATGGCTATGTCAAAACCCATGAAATCGTACACTTTAAATACATGCAATTTATTATATGTCAATTATCTCTCAATAAAGCTAAAAAACTAAATAAAAAAAGAAAAAGAAATAGGGGAAAGGAGGTTATTTCAATGGAAAAGAAGCTCCTTCCCTAGAACAGACACACACAGCAACACCATTCCCTTCAGAGCAGTGACTGACTATTCTGCTGGCCGGCCTCCCGCACGTCCGGGGTCTTACCTCTCGAAATTTATTGAAGACGCGGTCACTCTGGTGAGCGCCAATTGTGATTTCTGGGAGATAGATGGGGATGGTTGTGTAATTCAGCACCTCCAACTTATTCTGAACCCTAAAAAATAAGACAAATACAGATCACACCAAACCATCAAAATAAACATAATAAAATAAGCTTAAGTCTGATTTTCTAAAAAATCTAAATAAGAAATTCACACATTCAAATAAATGCTATTCACTGCCAAGCAGCCATCTCCGAAGCAGAACCTTCATCCGATAGGCCATTTGGTCTATTTGGAGCTGCTTTTTTGAAATTTCTTTCTGAATCCGAGGTAGAGTGTTTTAAAAGTCTCGTTGCCTAAAGGTGACATTCCTTTGGGAATGCATACAGTTCTGGGAACACAGAAAAGGTGTCAACGTGTGCCTTACACATAGGCAGAGCAGGAATGAGAAGCTACAAATAGCTACGCCGGAGTGCCATGCACACAGAACGCCACCGAACATCTGCAAGAATGAATCCCCAGGGACCAAACAGCGAGCACTGAAGTCCCTCGGGGCACAGGCCAGTACCTTGCTGCTGTTTCAAAGGCTGAGGCTGCCCAAAGAAAGGCGCTGACAGAGGCCCCCGGACGGCCTGCTGGACCACCCCTCGTCCGCGGTCCACCTCGCTACTGTCCCTGGCACCCACAAACACAGATCATAGGATACTCTCTTTATTTCACCACTTCATTGTGCTGAATGCTAAAATATTTATACTTTGTTACAATTTGCTTATTATATTTTAAATTAAATTTAGTTGGAATATAACCATTATACTTAAAGATGAAAAGCATTTTTTTGAGGTTTTAGAAAAAAAACATTAAAATAAAGCCTCCTTTCTTAAGGGCTCAAACCAAAGAAAATAATTGTTTTAAATGGCTACTTTCCCATTAATGAGTTATAAAAGCAGGAGATGTTTCTTGTTTGTAACGGCGCAAATGGAAATTCTGTAAATGTACCTGGCTCCCGGCCAGACTCCGTGAGAGAGTCCAGGCCCACTATGCAAACCCAAGGCCTGTTCCCCACGGCACCTGTGTAGACTCTGCCACAAACAGAACCACCCCATTGGAACCCAAGGCTCATGGGTTCCATGGATCACACTTCCACAGAGAACCACAGAGACCTGAGGACCCGCGACAGGTGACAGAGCAGACGGAAGGTAAAGCAAGCCATGAGTTTCCCGCTAAAAACCACGTCACTCACACGCGGTTAACAATCCAACAACCCAAACACTATTCCAAGAAACTGCTGCCAAGCTAACTGTGTTTGTTTTCCCAAGTGTATTTATGTGAGTTTCCACGTGGTTAGGCAAACGGCTGTCACGTACATACGCAAAGATAAGATTGTTTTCTTAGTTTTAATATTAAGTTGGTTTTACTTGCCCAAAAATATTCAAATATTAAAAAAATTTCAAGCAAGTGAATCAGAAAGTTTGTAAAGGGCATAAAGTTGCTGCATTTTGTAAGACTGCACTGTTGGGCCGTTGCTGGAAACGCAACGTGGTGTCATCAGATTTCACAGCACGGACGTTCATTGTCAACGCCACTCTCCCAGGTCTGCGCACGGCCCCCGTTTCCAAAGTGGGAAGCTGGTAGCCGTCCTCGTGCATCTTCCCAAAGCTCCCGAGCATGTGCCGACAATGTGTGAGTATGTGTCTCATTGTTAACACGAACGGAATTATTCTCGGTTGTATATGGATAATTTTTTGAACGCAGTAAAAATTTCAACTAAAAATGAAGTTCATATTTTAATTGTTAACAAAAATCAAGGTAGGAAGGTGATGTGGTTTTCTCTACAGTTCAGAAAACCTAAGAAAATGCTGGAAAATAAGAAAGTAATCAATGGGCTGGAGCTGTGTGGGCTACAGAGAGCAACAGCGCCACCTACGCACCATCGGTCAGAATTATAGTGACCTGGAAAATCTCTAAGCAAGCGCACTTCAAACTGTTTTTGAACGTTAAAAAGATAATCTGCTGCAACTACTCTACAACTTATTTAAAGCTGGTTAAACTGTTCTTCCAACTTATTACGATGAGCTTCAACGATGACTATTAAGAGCCCATGTGCATCTCCAGTAAACCCCCAAAACCTCAACCTCTCACGAACTGTAGAGACTGAAGATAAATAAGGAACAAAGGCAACAGGAAGCCTTTTATGACTCAGGAAGCAAAACCTAGAGAAAGAAAACACTCTGTTCACAGAGCACTTAGTTTAATTAAGAAGAAATCAAAACTGACTGAGTATACTGTATCCTCTTCGTATCACAAGCTAACGTGTCCAAACAAGATAAAATGCTCGGGAGCGTGGTTCGCAGTATGAGGTACTTGGCCATATATTTTAAAAACAAAAGAGGCAGGAAAACAAAAAATAAATAAAATGGTGAATTATGTTTTACAACTCAAAACTGTTTCCCAATTAACACAACATCTATACTTTCTCCTAAAACACTTCCAAAGCCTAGTTTTCAATTTCTCCAGAACTTCAAAGTTCTGCTTGCAACACTATCCTTACACCAAACTCACATGCCGGAGCGCGGTTCTGCAGCGCTAAAATTTCACGTTAAAAAGATGTTCTCCAGGAGTTACATAAAAAGTCTCAGTCATGAAGCAGAGGTGCGTGAAGACCCAGGCGCTGAGGAGGCGGGGAGGTGGGGTCAGAGGCCTGGGAACGGGACCGCGCCAAGCGAGCAGGCGCCGTCAGCAAGGAACCACCGTGGCTGGGAACACAAACGCCGTCACGACGGAGAAGGGCAATTGCGCCTCTCAGTCTAAGCGTGCACACACACAACGTAATTATACGCTGCCACACGTAACTGAGATGGTACAAAGATGTTCTAAACCAATAATCTGGTCAGGTTCTGGACAAAATGAGTATAAGTGGCAAATGGCATGTTTACATAATTATCTTAGAAAATTGGTCATAATTTTCACTTGAGTCCTCCAAATCGAGAAATGGTACTCACATGAAAATAAACACAGTTGCCATTGTAAACTTATGAAACACCCACGGGGGAGGAAGAGGAGCAAAATATCAGGAGCAGGAAAGAACAAAAGCATTTATAGTAAGCCGGAACAACTGAATGGCGTAATTTCTAAACTTTGAGGGAATTACAGAATCATCCTGTGTGCTCTGATAACCAAAAAGCTAAGTAACTACTGAAATTATGACTTTAAGAGGTGAATTTTGGACACGGCATAGAATAAAATCAACACGCATTTCAGATGCTCAGAAAATGACCCTGTATCCCAGTGGGGGGTCGGCAAGTCAGACCCACTCCTCGTCTCGGTGGTTTACTGGGCGCCACACTCTGCCCAGCAGGAACCGATACGAACAAGGATCACGTGTAAATCCGTATCAGTAATGGCCTACTAGAGTTAAGAGAAGGTTTTTGAGGGAAAACAGAAAGGTGACTACAGCCAGGCTTTGAAGACTGCTGCGATTTGCAGGGAGCCATCGGGCAGGTGAGGGCCGAAGACCGGGGAGATGGCTGGGATCCTGGCGGAAGAGGCAGAACCAGGCAGGTGACCAGGATTCCGGATTAATTCTGGGAAACAATTTGAACCTAGGACTAAACAAAGATAAACCACCGAAGAATTCTAATAAAGGAAAACAGGGTCACTGTGACCTGGCGGAGGCAGAATGAAGAGGTATCTCAGTGGGAAAATGGAGGCAGAACGAGGGAACGCAACCCCGATGGCAGCAGGAACAAGGAGCAGGTGATAGGGAACCACTGAAAATGGAACCCACGACCTTCAGGGTGGACCCAGGCAGGGCACAGGGGTCTGTGGGGAAAGGGAGGGTCCCGCTAGGACTACGGGTGACGGGTGGGCCGAGATCCCACCAGGACTCGAGGCTGCATGATGGCAGCAGGCAGCGCTAGGTGGCCCGAGGCACAGGACCACAGAGAGGGCACAGGGGACCAGAAGCTCTACCAGTTTGAGAGGGCGGGTCCTGCACACAGGGGTCACACGACCTTGGCAGGGCAGAGCTTTGAGCCGTGGTTACATTACCTGTAAAACGAGGCACCTCCCCCGTCAAAGTGCTGTGGAGCAGAGAAAACATTTCCAAACACCTTTCAGGTACGCAGTCGACAAACTGTCAACTACGAGGTTTCAGAGTAAAGGTGGGACACGATAACGCAGTTGAGAGATGGGATGGAGGTTTGCTCTAAGCAAGGTTCTGATGACAGAGTAAGGCCTGACAGGTGTGATGGTGACCCCTGTAACCCCACCTACCTAGGAGGCTAAGGCAAGAGAATTGGTTGAGCCCAGGAGTTTGAGACCAGCCCGGGCAACATTGAAGATCCCATCTCAAAAAGAAAAAGAAAATCAGTAAAGATAGGGACAACCTGAATACCACTATCAACCAGCTTGATCTAACTGACATTTCTAGAACACTCCACACAACAGTAGAATCTACAGTCTTCTTAAGCTCAATGGCAACATTAATCAAGACACAAAACATTCTTGGCCATGTGAAACACCGTAATAACCCTAAAAGGAGAGAAGTCACATACGGTATGTTCTCAGACCACACACAACACAGCACGACATTAGAGATACACGAACACGCACATATCTGAAGACAGATCAGCAGAACCTGACTAAGCTGTTGACCCTGGCACCTGGCAGCAGAATCGCAGGCTGTTCCATCTCACTTTGGACTTCTGCTCCCCCTTGCTATCGTAAGTGGGTGTGCCTCCGACCGCTAGTCCCCTTTGTCCCGCCGCCATTTCCGTTTAAACTAAATTCTAAACTAATTCTAACTAAACCACAGACTAAATTCCGCGGTTCATCCTTACCACGCGCGCTCAGCTCTCCTGCCCTCTCTTGGACTCAGGTGGCAAAACCCAACCTTGTTACAATCCGAGGCTCTGCCATGGTGCAGAACCACGTTCCTGGGTTCAGATCTGCCTTCCCCACCGGAAGCGTGTCTGCCAGAAGCGCTGTCGCACACCTGCGCGAAGGCTTTCCCTCGTCACACACAGAGCAGGGCCATGCTCTTGCCCTTGGCTTTGGCAGGTCCTCCTTGGAGCTGGCCCTGGGCTGACTTCTGGATGCTCTAAGAAGTGCCCCA